TTTTTCCCAGGAATTTTGAACTGCCTTGGTTGGATGAGCGTAGCCGATGCAGGTTGGAGATCCAGAAGAAACAAACACCTCACCGGACGTGTAGGAAATAGCTGTGCTGGCAAGAACCTCCTGTCTTCAGATAGTTGTAGCATGCCATTCCCAGAGAGTGGCAGAGACCTGTATATGTGACCTATGTCCTCATGTATGTTATCATTTGTTGATAATGCCCTCCCATACTCCTTTGATCTTGGTTTTGTTTTCATCACTCTGATTTCACACTCTTTCATTGGGCTAATTGTGAATTATAGAGGGTGATTGGGATTTCTTTTCCCTTTGGGGGAAGTGAGCTCTCAAACTAAATCTACAGGATGGCAGATTTGGAAGCTTTAGGGGTCTGCTTCTATACATTTGCCTATGTTAAAGTGGTAAAAGGGCTCTCTTCACTAGTCTTGTGGAAGATGAAGCAACCCCTGCCTTCAGAGCTGTGCCTGCATGGCACTCTTCTCGCCCTCATGTACCCTTCCTTATAGTTTTGAGTATAGTGGTTTTTATCCTAAAGCAAAACAAAAAACCTCACCAGGAGCCTAAGGACCAGATGAGGAATTGAAAGTGAAGTGATGAAGCAAGTCATCTTCACAGGGTAGAAAGTGATTGGAAAGTTGGTAGTAAATGTCTGAAAAAAGTTAATATCTTAAAACTATTCTGTGATACAGCCATGTGGGAAGGGATGTTTGGTTGTGCTTACGTTAATTAATGAGTAACGACTCCCCCCACCCCCCAAAAATACTAAAATCTTTGGGAATAAAGCATGGGGATGGTTAGTTTTGAACAAGTTTTGGCTCTAAACAAAAACAGTTGGCATCTGGGAATAGCGTGCCAGACCCTGTATAGATGTCCTTGTGTCATATCACCTCTCGAGAATTCCTTAGTTGGGCTTTATCCTTTCAGCTGAGCTCCTGGTAGTAGGATAGAGATTTAGGGAGGGTGGGGGGGTGTATGTGGAAATATGTGCTTCCTGGCTGGCAAATGTCTACATCTCAAAACAGATGTACCTAATGAGCTTCTCCATTCACTTTGTAAAAATAGATTTGTATATGTACCATCATGCCCCCTCCCTCCCATTTTGTTAAAAAGTAAATTCAGGACGGCACTCCAGGCCACTTTGGTCTCAGTGTAAGATCCCTGTAACTATCTGGAAGGAAAATAGAGCCAAGGCCTCTGGTCTTAAATATATAGGAATTGCCTTTCTTTAGTCATTATGACTATTGTGTGAAAACAAGTAGGGGTCGAATCTCCTAGAAGGTAGGGGCTTTTATCCTTGAAGAGACTATGTCCCCAGATTATTAGCACTTTTAGAGGAGAAGCCAAGGTATTTAGGGTGTGTGGCCGGCCCCTCTGTGGAGCACGAGAGACTGGGATACCATTGTGGGAAGAGAAGACAAGTTCCTCAGGGGTCTCCCGCTGCTGAAGCTTTTTGTGAGATGTTGATCTGTGCTCCCTGGGTTTGACTTTTAAAGGAATTATTCCGGCAGCACATGTAGTATTCTTGGATGATCTTGCTGCTCTTATTTCTCCTTTTGTGTGTGTGTGGCTGTGGGTTTTCATTTGTAACTCCATCTGCTTAGGAGAGTGGGCTCTCCACAAGGGAACCTGCCGTGAACTTCACTGCAGCAAGAATGTAGAGAGAAGTAGGATTTATTCCACTAGGGACTCTCATCTCACACCTTAAGAAGGAGATTTCTAGAAAAACTGGGCTAGATTTTCTTTGTCCTTCATCATTTTAATTTGGCAAGCTGTTTGGCTTTCCTACTCAGACCTGTTATGTTCCTTTATAATGTACCCAAGAAGAAAAAAAAAAAGACCAATCAGTGTCTCTCTACTTTGTTCCTTGATTCCTCTCAGTTTCTTCTTGATTTTCAGCATTTGTTGGATTCCTAATTTGGATAAGGGTTAGCAAATTTATCTTTATGTTTGTGCCCTTCCCAGGGGACTCCTCAGATTCTGAACTTGAGCTAGACTAAGAGGAATCTATGAGGTGCTATCTGGCCAGACTTCAGTGGATTCTATTTCTTTGGTTCTCCCTCTACCTAGGGCCTCTTTTATTGTCCCTGCTTCTAGATCAGTTCTCCTTTGATTTGGATATGTTGAGGTTTGTTGAGGAGGTTGGAGAGTAGATTAGCAAAGTTTCAAGAGTGAAATTACAGTGTGTTAAGAGTGTGGGGGGAAAATTAAGTCTTATTTTTTCCCTACATGGGATACAACACTGTGAAATTCAATCTTCAACTGAAGGCCCTGCAAGTCTCCTAAAACATAGTTCTTTGTTTCTTTCTTTAACAAAGTTTAAGCTAGTGTTAATAAATTAAAGAGAAATTGCTTGTCTGTCCACTCAGCTTTGTTTTATGCCCATTTCATATTGTCTGTGTTGTAATTCATACTTTTGATACCATTTCTGATGTGTAAAATTGGTTGTCCTGTAAATATCTTATAAAGAGTTCAATTGTAAATAAACTATTGTGGCTGTTAATTTTGAACTTCTGCTTCAGTTTATTAGACTGGGAAGCATTAAATAGCTCTGCTTACAGATTTTTAAAAGAAAAACAAATCATTTTCACAAAATAGGGAAACACCATTTTCCCATTTATGTAAGGTATCCTCTTCTGTTTGTGTTTAAACACAATGTATATTTCATTCCGTTGTACTTTTTTCTTCCTACAGCATATCTGGCAGATTTAAAACAAAAGATCATAGGAAGGATACTTGGTCCCTGGTGTCTACACTAAAAACTCAGAGGCCATCTAGTCTGGTTGCTAGTACGTGATGACCACATTCCAGACAAATGAAGTGCAGCTTCTGCTTCACCCCTTGACTTTTTCTATGTAATTTTTCAAATGTTAAAAGCATTCTTCGTTGACAAAATCTAACCTAACGCCAACCCATTGGTTCTTGACTTGTATTCAGGATGACAGAAAAGATACAATTCCTCTTTTTCTTTATAGTCCCTTAAAGAGCTAAATATTGCTGTGGCTATCCCAAGTCTTCTCTTCATGCCAAGCAATCAGAGAGATTACAAGTGTTCCTCAAAAGAAAGGAGTTTGAGTTGTTCATTTCCCTTTGGATGAATGAATAACTTGCCTGGGCTGTCCCTGATGGTGCAAGGGGTTAACATGCAGCACTATGAAGCTATACTTATTCACTGCTGGCCATGGCACAGCAGACATCTGACCTGCCCAATACTCCTCTCAGCAATGTATTCATCAATCTGCCTGTTCTGTTCTTTTTTCTGCCTGTGGTGAATCCTCTCACTACCCTCCTCTGGCCTGTATCCCAGTTCCATATGGGGTAAATTTTTTTTTAAGATTTATTTATGCATACAGAACTGGGGGGTACAGTCTAGAGGTGCAGGGCTAGTAAGAGGCTTCACCAGAGACTGTGGAGAGCAGAACAGGCAGACTGATGAAATACACTGCTGAGGGGAGCAGCTGCCCTGTCAGGAGGGGCCAGCTCCCGCGCCATGTGGGTCACATCGGGGCGGGAATTGAACTCAGTGCTGAAG